CATCAGAAGTTGTATTTGACCAAAACCAACTTTTTAAAATTTCATTTCTTTCAGGTATGTTAAGATGAAATGTATTACAAATTACTTACATTGCAGTATTAATAATGTGGAAATAAGTTGTTACAGCATTAAAGAAGTTGAAATCTTAATAGATAAATAGCAATTTAAACTGAAAACTCTGGAAATCAGTGTAGTAAGATCCATTTAAAATCCTTGTAGTCCTAGTAAGGGGTTTGTTGCCATGATACTTTCTTCAGTAACATATGTGGGAAAGCACACCTCAGCTGAGGAAAGGATTTAGTTCTCATTTTTCATGTTTTCATATTGAAGCCCCATCCAGCCATTACCACTCCTATCAGTGAAACAGTTGAAGAAAGCAGTCAGGAGCCTGCTGAGGGGGGTGAGGAGAAAGCAGGAGCCAAACGAAAAAAGTCTTCTGTCGCAAAGGTAAGTGACTGAATATGTGTTCTGTTCTGCCAGGAACATCTTTGAGTCAAAACGATATTGCTGAGTTTTTGCTTAAATACTTTAAACTAACAGTGGTTTATTCTTGTAACTGCCTTGTTACAACTGCTTTCTCACAACAAGACAGTTTCTTTGCTGCTTTTCAGGTATACCTGCAGTAATATTTTTGTCCTTCTGTATTCCTTATACAGTATGAGACATGTTTGAAAATTGATTTCTGTATCAGTCTATATTTCTAAATCATTATACAATTAAACTAAATTCAGGCAGTACTTTCTAGGCAGAGGAAACTGGAAATGGTCAGCAAGAATTAGCTTAAAGTTTCCCTTCCTGTTTTTGAAGACTTTTTGATATCAGAGGCAGGTATGACTCTCAATTATGATAACTTTTCTTGCAAAGCTGAACAGCATTAGATTCTGTTGTGGCTGAAAGGGTACTTCAGTGTATTTGCCAGAACAGGTTATGAGAATCAGTTTGAGTTAAGCCATACTCTTTATGAGCTAATTAGGATATAGAAGATTTCATAGCTGTATTAATCCATCTCTTGAGTCAGAAAAGTGAGTTACCAGTATGCAACAGTTTATGCAGACAGAGTTTAGCTTCTTTGCTTTGTAATGTGCGCATAGCTTAGCACCCTTCCAAAACGAGATTGGGTTCTCTTTAAATATATTGTATTCATGCTTTAAAAAGCGCATTTTGTCCTGTAAGAAATGAACCTCCCTAGCTTACTGTCCCCTTAATGATTCTAGTGTAGAACACTGCTTTGAACTTTCCCTGTTCTTGAATGCTTTGTTTTGTCATGTGGGGATATTTTTCGTATGGCATGGAAGAGGCGTTGTGTGCTGTCAGCTTCTCTCAGTTGTTCTAAGGAGAGTGGAATCCTAAAATGACAAAAATTGTGACGCAGGTGGAATTGATACATTTATGATGTCTCATTTATTTGTAATTAATTTCTGGAAATTACTGTTCTACAGGATCAGCAGTGCCCTTAAATGTTGGTCTGTTTTGAATAGACTTGCCTCACTGTTTTAGTTTTGATTATTTACCAAGACTGAATGTAGTTTGTCTGTAGGTATTGCTGGCTGACCTTTAATATTGATTCACAGCTGCAACTGAAGAATTTGCAATGTGTCAAATACATAGCAGGTGCTCATTAGGTAGGATTAGTGTCTAGTAGCTGTAATAGCTTGTTTGTTCAGGAGTAAAAAAGTCCTTTGATTAGATGAAAGAAGTTAGTATCCTGGTGGTGTACAGGTAGATGATGTTGAGAGTTATTTTGATGAGTTGGAGACCACAGAGTTATGGATGGATTATTTCTCCTAAGTTTTTACTGCCTAGAGTTCCTTATTTTAGTACTTCTACATGTGGAAGGTGAGGGTGATTCTATCTGCTGTACCTTAGGAGAGCTCTTCAACACATAATTTCCTGACAGTAAACCAATGCTGTTCTTGTCCATGCGCACTGCTGATAAAAGCATTTGTTCTTGGCATTGTGACTGCGAGGGGGAAACTTCTTTTAAACTGGACTGATCAGTTTGCTTCTCCCTGGATTTATGCCTCAAGCAACATGTGCTAGTGGGGATGGCAGTGACTTAAGCTTCATGTTTCTCATGGAAAGTGCTTTCAGTCTGTTCTGTGCTGGCACTGTGAAAGAGAAACAGGAAGACATAAGAGCCATTTAAACACAAAGCTGGAATAAAATATCCTGGATGGGTCCTGTCATGGTTTAACCCCAGCCAGCAGCCAAGAACCACGCAGCCACTCACACTCCCTCCTCCCCCCTCTTCCCCCCCAACCCAGAGGAATGGGGAGGAGAAAATAAAGTAAAATATGTAGGTTGAGATAAGAACAGTTTAATAATAAAGAGCAGAATGAGCTAAAATGTCAATGGATAATAAAAAGAAAGTGAAAGAAATGAAACCAAAACAAAACCAGTGGACCAGCACAACCCAGTCCCTCCCCCTGGATCGACCCTTCCTGCTTATATACTGGGCATGACATTCTATGGTGTGGAATATCCCTTTGGCTAGTTAGGTCGCCTGTCCCAGCTATGCTCCCTCCCAGTTTCTTGTGTACGTTCTCACTGGCAGAGCATAAGACACAAGAAAGAAAACATCCTTGATTTAGGATAGACACAGCAGAAACCAAACCATCAGTGTACTGTCATCAGAATTGTCACTGTGAATCCAAACACTGCACTACACTAGCTACTGAGGAAAAAGAAAATGAAATTAACTCCATCCTGGTTAAAACCAGCACAGTCCTTCTACATAGCTTTCTCTAATTAGTTTCAGTCAGCTTGTGGCAAAATAGAGAGCAAATTTTCTATTTATACTAATGTAGCTATAACTTTTAATCAGTCCTTTACTCTGCTTTCCTGTGGTTTCAGTGAACTGGTTATTCTTCTGTCTTGAAGTTGTGCTCTGTGAAAAGACTCAGTGATATTACATGTCTCAAGTAATTGGGAATATTGCATGATAGCCTTGTGCCTGAGTTGCTTTGGTTAATGTTGGAATCTTAAAAACTGTAGCTGCTTTAGATGGGAATTGGGAAAAAAAAAGGCATTTGCAAGTGGGACAAAGCAATAGCATTCAAGTTGAGAAAAAGAACTGAAAACCTTAAAAACATGCATATGCATAGGCTGCAAGGAATTATTGATTATTTTCAGGTAAATTATTACAAGCTTTTGATTTTTCAAGTCTTAACTGCTCACCTAAAATGAAAATTAGTATTTCTAAGGTTTAAAAAAACCCCAGCAAAACAGGAAAAAAGGCATAGACTACAATTTCAAAAATGACAAAACAACTTGCTTGTAGTCTGTGTACTACTTGTCCTTGTTTTGACTGGGGTAGAGTTAGTTTTCTTCATAGTAGCTGGTTGTAACACCCCGGTCTGCTTGGGTGATGGAGGGGAAGGTAATTTTGAATTACTCTGGGCAGTGTGCAGAAGAAAAAACTCAATTCTCAGCGGGTTCAAGAAGAAATAAGGCACTTGGCAAAAGGCAAATGAGTAAACTTCACAGCATTCAAACATGCTGTGCAGACTTTAACTTAGCACACCTTGAGAGAGCTAAGTCTTAGCTGGGACTGATCATGCACTTACTGAGTCATTAAAGGGATACTCCTCAGTGCAGCTTGTAGCTTAATATATTGTGAAGGAGAAAAGAAAGAAAAGTAGTGAGGAAAACAGATGGGAAAGAGAGGTAGATAGTCACCACCTGTGTATCCAGCATGGTCTCATCAGCTTCCAACCCAGGGCAGTGGTGCATGTCTCGCTGTCCTTCTATCCGTTCCCCTCGCCCAAGGCCCATCCCAGCGTGAGGTCACACACATGTACCTGTGCTTTAGGCAGAGCCAGGAGCTTTGGCATCATCTCAGGGCTTGCAGCAAGGCCGTGTGGTCGACCACCAACATTTCAGGGCTCCCATCAGAGCCATGTGGTCACCTAGGCCATTCCAGTGTAGACCAGCAGTTACCTGCTAAGGGTAACTTAGCCTTCAAGGGGCTGGGGGAGAGCATTATGCCACCCCACCTATGCAGAACTCAACCTGTTCCCTGCAGTGCTTTCCCAACTGCTTTTTTTGAGCCAGACAACTTTTCCTGGGGTTCCTGACACTGGTGCAGTGCTGTGTTTTGGATTTAGCATGAGAATAATGTTAGTTTTTGCTAAGTAGTGCTTACCTTAAACCAAGGACTTTCTCAGTGTCTCATGTGCTGCCAGTGAGCAGGTGCTCAAGAAGCAGGGAGGGAGCATGGACAGGACAGGTGACCTAGAACGTGTTCATACCCTAGAACATCATGCCCAGTATATAAACCAGGGGGAGTTGGTTGGGAGGGGCTGATCGCTGCTCGGGGTCAGGCTGGGAATTGGTCAGTGTGTGGCGAGCAATGGTATCATAGAATCATAGAATTTAGGGGTTGGAATGGACCTTACAGATCATCTAGTCCCAACCCTCCCTGCCATGGGCAGGGACACCTCCTCACTAGATCAGGTTGCTCAAGGCCTCATCCAGCCTGGCCTTGAACACTGCCAGGGTCGGGACAGCCACCACGTCCCTGGGCAGCCTGTTCCAGTGTCTCATCACTGTTAGAGTAAAACCTTTTTTCGAATATCTTAACACCTTGCATAAGTTTCTCTTGGGTTTTATTCCTCTCTTCCATTCAGCTTTTCATTACAATTATTGTTGTTATTATTAGTATTACTGTTCTTTGTTTCAATTATTGAACTGGTTTTATCTCAACCTTTTGTTTCCAATTTACTTTCTAAGGTTTACCTTTTCTTTCTGATTCTCCTCCCGCAGTGGGTAAGGAGGTCAGTCAGTGAGCAAGAATGTGTGCTTGAATTGTAACACTGCTACAAGTCTTCGTTTACCACTAAATGTGGTCTGTGACTCAGGTATCCATCTATGTGAAACAGATAAACAGTAATCAAAATGAATCTTACATGTTGGCAAGGTCTCTTAGAAGTACTTATGTCATGGTGATATGATCAAAAAGTGTAGCTGTTGTTGGGACCACCAAGTAGAATTGAAATTCTGCCATAGTACATTGATGTGTTTTGACCTGTTCTGACAGCAGTCTGACTGTGTACTGGAGAAAGTGGTCCAGTTAGACTTTCAGTGAGTACCTAACTATTTAAAATGAAGAGCAGCCCAATGGTTATTCACGTGTTCTCTTTTCACTATAAAATAGTTTTTAATGGGTTTTTTTGCCCTGTGTTGAATCCCTTTGCAGTTATCCCCCAAAGGAGACAATAACTTACCTACAGAAGCTGAAACAGAAGAAAAGGAGATGGATCCTTCAAAGGAAGATGATCTACCCTCTGACAAAACCAGTAAAGAAGTATGTGAGAACTTCTTCTATGTACCATAGAACATCTTAATATTATGTTCATTGATGTTAAATTGATTACTAAGACACTATAGTTATTACTACTCTGACAGTCTCAGGAGGTGTTTCATTATATAAAACTTTCTGCGTGTTCACTCATGTTTATACCTCTCACTGAAGCTCCCAGGAACTGAACTGAAGTTTTCATCAGAGGGGTTTCTGGTTAGTCTACAAGTGCAGTTAAAACAGCTGGAACAATGTGGGTTGTATCACTTACTCTCTATTGTAAATGTATTTTTTTAAGGACTAGATAAAGAGTTGAGACAGACTAAAACATCACTACATACCTTTGTTTAAAACAGAATATTATTTAGTACTCTAGTTTATTTTTTATCTTTCAGGAAAAAGTCCAAAGTACCAGGTAATCATAGAATGGTTTGGGTTGGAAGGGACCTTAAAGATCACCTAGTTCCAACTCCTTTGCTGTGTACAAGGACATCATTCACTAGCCCAGGTTGCTCAAAGCCTGGCCTTAAATACTTTCAGAGATGGGGCAGTCACAGCTTCTCTGGCAAACTGTGCCAGTGCCTCACCTCCCTCACAGTAAATAATTTCTTCATATTATCTAGACTAAATGTGCCCTCTTTCAGTTTAAAGCCATAATCAGGATTTTAATAATTTAAAAGCAGGCAGTGTCTTTGTATACATTATGGGATTCATGTTTAAATTATGTACCAGAGGCTTCAGTTGTGGAAAAAATTGAGAATAGTTTGAAATATCTTTATTTTGTTAAGACTCCTAGCACCATTTTAATCTTCACAGCATGTGGTGAAAGCAAATGATGCTTCTGTTCCTAAAGTTGCTAGAAGAGGAAGAAAAAGAAAGGTAACAATGTTTAATTACTTCACCTTACTGCAATTTTTTTTATATGATAATACAGGATATTATTTTCTTTAGTGATAGATTATATGTAAGTTGAAGTGCTTGACACCCTACTACCCTTTTTCAAATGTCTGAAAGATCTGTAGGAACTAAAGTTGTTCCAGAATGCATTTTACAAGTCTTAATTCTGTTTGAACTTAATGTGGAATATTGTTTTCCCATCTTTTCCCAAACAGCCTATTACAAGTAAGAAAAAAATAACATACAAACTGTTGCTAGACTGCTAATGAAATAGCCTGAGGCTCTGAAAAATTTCTCTTAACATCTTCATCACACTGAACTAACACCTGAACTACTCCCCTTTGTGATTTTGTGGTCTCTTCAACCTGGGAAAAACTGGAATTACTTTGAAAGAAGCAGTTACAGCTGCTTCCTCAGTGTATTCTAGCCTTTATGTTTTGTGGTCACACAGCAAGCCAGACTGGGGCACTGACCCAACTGAAAACCAGATTAAAGTGGGGCAGATCTTAATTTCGTGTTCAGAACCACTTTTAACTTCTGATGCTGGTGCTGACAGCAGGGATGGGATGAGTGTGAAGTAACTGTGACCTTAGTGTGCTTGTCACAGATAAGTAATATGCTGGATCTGTACACTAGAGGTACATCTACTGCTAGATTTAAGTTTCACTCTGTTGTTTAAGTGATCTCTTATTATAGATGCTCACAAAGAATATTAAGATAAATGTGCTTAAAGAATATAAGAGAACTATGTATTAGCCCATAAATTGTCCTGCATCCAGGACACTAAGTTCTCGTCTGCTTTCTCTGGTTGGGATTTTTCTCAAAACGTTTCATCTGTATATATGGGTATGAAGTGTTTCTGCAGGGAGATTTATATCTTTACATTGAGATCTTTTGTTTCAAGTTTCGTCTGTCTTCCCAGCCCTCACAAAATGTCTGTGTAGGTGCAGGTCATGTCCTGCTGCTGCGGACCAACATGCAGTTTTTCACGCTGAATAGCATCAGTCTGTGGAGCTGGAGTCACGTATTTTTTTGGATAGCTCCGTCTGCTGGCTTGATACCTTGGTGCAGCTAGCGGAGATCGTGGCACAGTCTAAAGGGGAGAGTATTTGGTGGGGGAGAAGTATGAACTTGCCTGCTTAAAACTGGGGTTTGGCATACTGTTACGGCAATCTTAAAAATACTTAGAAGTAATCTCTGCTTTGTTATACCAAGGTAATTTTGTTCTGAAGGTGAATGGGCTGGTTGAAATTGTATGAAATATCACTATATCAGGTAGTGATGGTATGGAGAGGGTGAAATTAATGATACTTAAATGTAATCTGTTAGTGAACATGGAAATTTTTTTACCCATGGGCACAAAAAGTAGCATAATAATGCATTTCTAGAAGTTTAAAATTGTTGTTTGAGAAAGTGATGAAGATAACACCACATACTGGTGCCGTGTTTTTTCACTTGTGAAATTCATTCTTTAAATTAGTCTGAAAAACAAGCTGAAGCTGAAGAAGCAGCAGCAATGGCAGCGGTGGCTCCAGTGTCCCCAAAAGTAAGCCCCAAACGAGGAAGACCAGCAGGTAACTTCAGAAGAAAGATTTAACTTTGCACCACGGAAATATCTTAGTCAAATTAGTCAGGGAGTGGTCTCCTTCCCCTAAACTACTGCAGAGTATTTTTTTCATGCTAAAGACAGTCTTTGCTAATAGGTTGTGATAAGAAAACACCTCCTCTCAAATGGGTGAATTTAGAACATAACTGGATTTAAATTGTTAGCATTAACGCTCAGTCTTCTAAATTAGAGACTGGTTGTTCTAAAGGTGTTACCTTTAGAAAAGCCTTCTTCATGGAATACTGATAAAGTGTGGATGTATGGTACTAGTTCTCTGTGTATTTTTGTTCCAGAAAGGTTTCTGTGCATCCATCAATGGTCTGTAGAATCCTCTGACTGTGTTAGAATATCCTTGAAACACAAAGAAGAGAACTGGGGAGACAAAGCTCCTGTAGGTGGAGCTCAGAGGATGGTAAAAACAGGCTGAGAGCTGGAGAGGCCTGTGTAAAAATATGTTTAAGGCAGTCTGTGTAATTTGATAGACAAAAGACAATGTAACTGATTTTTTGTACATGTCTAGTTAGAACCATTTGGTGATCGTTCTGTAGTGCCTACTTCTTTCAAAGCATCAAATGAAATGCTTTGAAATTATCTGTTTCATCGCAGTTTTTATGGTAAGCTTGCAGATATTCTTGACCATTAATGAGTACATCAGAGAACTGTTCTGGCAGCAGTTAAGTCCATTGTACAAGCATGTAGTCAGGGAAACAAATCATGTATAGTCATCTGTATCTGCTGACAGTGCCAAATTAACTTACTTCAACTACAGTTAGGTTGACTTAATTCCTTTTGCCTTGGAGGCTGCAATGAAATTTATCATTGTTTTTATTACATGTACAAAATGTACATTTTTAATATGTGGATTTCTCTTTACAATTTCTGGTTTGCTTTCACTAACAGCTGCCTGTAAGAGATGCTTTTGCCTCCTGTAAGAAATACCTGTCTATAAAATGTACCATGCAGCCTTCTCACATCTCTTGCTTAGCAGTGCTCCATGCTAAGACCAACATGAGTTTAAACACTGATTATTGGCTTTGCTGACCACATGTTCACTGTGATACTGGAGAAGCATTTGAAGTATAGAAGTGCCAAGAAAGCAGATATGTTGTTTGTCTTACTGTAGAAATGTGGTGAATCTGAGTAAATGCAGAGTTTGATCTACACTGTAGTGTGGTGGTAGAACTTCTTGTCATTGGTTTGTTATGAAAAGTGATGAAAGCTCTGTGATACATCTAAAAATAGTGGACAACAAATTGTTAACGTGGGCAGTAAATGAGTTCTTCTTACTTTCTAATTTCTTACTTCTCATCTAATATAAGAGTTGTTCATATTAATTATTCAATGTATGAAACAAATCTGTCTGCACAGATTGCAAAAAGAAGAAAGCACAAGAATTGGTAGTTGAAGCCTGTGGCTAAAAAAACCCCAAAGTTTTTAATTTTCCAATTAGCTAGAAAAACTGCCAACACTTCAATTTTTCAGAGATATCTTGATTAAGGTTTGGTGCTTAATTAACACTTGAATTTTGTATAATAGCAAAGTTAGGTTGGTTTTAAGTGTAGCTTATGTCTGTTGAGTAAGAGTCTTTCTACATAGACAGGGAGTAGGTGGTGGCTGTGAACTAACCTGTTATTTTTGTATAACTACTAGCTTCTGAAGTAAAAGTTCCAAAACCGAGAGGGAGACCCAAGTTGGTGAAACCATCTTGTCTTTCAGAGGGTGACTTGTGAGTTACGTTTTATTCTTTAATATAAAGCATCTTCACTGTAAATCATGTTATTCCTTATGTCAAGACTTCATAGTTAGAGTACTTGACAGGTGTTTGCCCTGTTACTGTTCAACATCAGTTACTGTAACAACTGGTGTTGTTATAGTACAGAGTAACTCAAGCTAGTATGTTTCAGGAATGAGAGACAGAAGATCCTGACCTTCTTAACTTGTAAAATCTGAGCAAAATTCCTCATATAGCTGCATGCTGAGTGAAGAGGCAAAGGCTTAAGAGAAACTACAAGATCTTGTGAAACTGAAATAGGGATTTTTTTGTTTGTTTGTTTGTTACATTTCTGTTTCAGAATTCTGTTCTGATGGAATTCCAACACTATTTGTTCTTGTTGTTGTTGTTCCATAAATTTCCATAAATTTCATTTTTGCCTTTTTCAGTTCTTAGGTCAAGTTCTTCATGTTTCTAGTAACCCTTAAGAAAAGTAGAGAATTGGTGTAGTTTTCTATAAATTAAAGATGCACAGTTTTGGGGTGTGTATATGTGTGTGTGTATATATATACACCTTAAGTAAGTATACTTTATAAGCCTAGTTTACAGTGTATGCACCTTTGATCCTGCAGAACCATATGTGTTTGGAGTACCTGCTGAGCACAGGTTTGGATCTGTGCTCTTACATTAATGTTAGCCTCACTGGGGCCTCCATACTCTTATTTATTTATTTATTTATTTTGCGCAGATAGTGGGCTATAATTTTAGAAAATGGCTATTTTTTTTGGAAGAGTCACTAAATGGACTGAAAGTGAATCGAGTTCATAATTTTTAGTATTCTGTGGTTAAAAAAGATCAGGTCCCTGAGTTAAAGTAGCTTCTCGAAGTCACTGTAGTGAATGGATATGATGCCTAAATACTGTTCATATTTCAGTGTTAATGAGGAGGAGAAGGCAAAGAAAAAAGGACCAGAAGAAAAGCCCAAAAAGCAAGGGAAAAAAGATGAAGACAGTCAGAAGGATGAGGAGAAGTCAAAGAAGGAATTTGATAAAAAGGAAGGAAAGAAAGAGTCTGAACTGAAAAGGAAAAATGTTGCAAAAGTGGGTTCTGCATCAGCTTCTGATTCTGAAGATGAAGGAGAACAAGAAGAAGGGGACAAGGTAAAATTTTGTTTACCTGATATATTTATTATAGAGGAAAGTAGTATCACTGAAGGTTTTCCAGTTATGTACTAGGTCTTAGTAAAGGTTGGAGTCCTGTGTCTGGCTAATACAGATATATAAAATAAGTTTTGAGCTTAATTTTCTCAAATAATTATTTCAGGACCTTCTATTTTCCAATGAAAGCATCTCTTCTAAGACAGTTCTCTTTCTAACAAATCATGTAAATGTAGCAGCTATTTATTCTGTCAGAAGGCTTTTATTTTCACTTGAGTTCCTTGGAACACAGACATTTCTTTTCTTGGGTGCATCTAGAGAACATTTGGCTTGAAATCACATTTTTGGTAAATCAAAGCTGTCCCTAGCCAATCATTTGTAATGTCTTCATTTTTCTGGTACTTAGGTTGTTTGCCTTCCAATGAAAAGGAAAAAAGGGAGAAAGGACTAATAAAGTTGTATTTAGTTTCAGGGAAGGCCAGCTCTTGTCAGGTTATTCCATGGAGCACAGTTGTTTTGAGGATGCTTAGTGTAAGTAGGTTTACCTGTTTACAGAAACAGTGACATAATCTTGCTTTTCTCTTTCCAATCATAAAATCCCAAATAGAAGAAAAAAGGGGGAAGAAGCTTTCAGGCATCTCACAGAAGAAACATTGTAAGAGGACAGCATGATAGAGAAGTAACAGACAGAAAGCGTAAGCAGGAGGAACAGACAGAATCTGAATCGTGAGTATATTTTAACATGGGATGCCTGCAAGTTGTGGGAGTACTTTGAACCTAACAGGAGGAAACAGTATCTGAAAAAACTTTCAAGCTGGTTTGCACTATGTTCTGTTCTTCTCTCCCCTCACCCCCCCTTTTGGTTTTCTATTTCAGCTTCTTTCTGAGCAGAGGGTAAAAAGCTCCTTTAAACCACTATGTTCTATAGTGAGAGGATTGGAATAACTGAATATAGAAATTAGGTGATGTCAATCTGTCAGTGACTTTGAGTGTCTAGCAGAGCAAAGCTGGTAGGTTCTTTTTAGAACTAACCTAAGAATATTTATAATAAAAGGGATCAGTGTGAAAAACTGTTCAGGACAGCCATATATTTCTCTTACAAGTTTTAGGTACATCAGATTGACAACTGGTCGGACCTATTAATCCATGGATTTTTGATGAGGCGTGGAATGCCTCGGACTATCTGGAAAACATTTCCTTCTCTGGCAGCTGGAGCACACACTGTCAGACAGAACAAGGGAAAAATAAATAATTCTTCTACTTTAGCAGTGGAAAGCTAGTTGAGTGACACCAAGAGCAGTCTGCATTTGGAAAATTAAGTATCACAAATGAGTCAGGAATAAGAAAGAATACAATATCCTGCCAGAAACTGGGGGGCATGGGACACTAGGAAGAAATCTGACTCGTTCTCCAGAGCTATTCTACAAATGGGCAAAGAAGCTGCCACAAGAAGAGTGTGATGTTCCCATCCCCACGTTTGGCAGAAGGGTGGAAGAAAGTGAGAACAAAGTGAAAATGTGAAAATTGAGGAATATAATGGTCTCCTTCACCTGTACCAACGAAATCATATCTTTTTTCACACTCATTAACAAGAACCTAGTTTGGTTGGGTTTTATTTTTTTTGTGCTCTAGCCCTTTCTTCTCCCTGTCACTCCTCTGGAAACCTAACATAATTACTCTGCCTGTAGCAAATCTAAGTGTTTCCAGCTTCAGAGATACTAAATTGTTCTTTGCCTCTTAGCAGCTCTTAATGTATCACTATTTCACTCTGACAAATGCTGATTGATTTCTGCAATCAAACTGTCATATATTGATTGAGTTCAAATAATCAAATCTCTGCTTTTAAATAGCTCTCATATTTTATGCATTAGAGGGTGGATAGACTTCTGTTATAATAAGAAAAAAGGAGAACTAGTTAGTGAATGTGTAATAAATTTAATTTTAGCTGATGACTAATACCACAAAACCCAATATTCATAAAAAGTAAAAATAATACAGGCTGATATGTGGTTTTTGGTTATCACCATAGTTTCCATTTTCTGGTCTTTGTAGCTACTTCGTTAGTACTTATTTTGTAACTTATAGTGCTTTGTACACCATTCTGTTTGTGTACCAAGTTTACATGTGTGGTTTCAGTGGCATGAGATGTGCTGCCACTTGAAACAAAAGAGTTTTATATACTTTAAAACTTAATTCTGTAACCAGATAAGAGTATGAAAGAAACACAAAAGATGATAGACATGCAGGCCTGGATATTTTATGGATGCATATTACTATGACAGGAAAAAAAATTAATCTTAGGACATTTAAGTCATGATATGCTGAAATATGCAAATTCTAAAGTGAGGCTTTTAAACCCCTTAGTAAGACAAGAGTGAGGAATTGCTAAGCAGGAGTTCATGGTCTTCTCTGAATAAAAATTTAAAAGCTTAAAATCTTGTTTGTAAGACTTCTGCCTGCCTCGATTCTGTAACTGAGTTGGAGACAGGTTTTGTTCTGTTTTTCTTGAGTCCCAGCTTTATTTGCAGTGAGACAATTAGAGAAAGATCCAGGAGGTTTCAATGCACTTGCAATAAATATTTTTTTTTTCTTTTTGATTACTATTTTCTTTTAAGAAGTTTTAAATTATTACTGATACATTTATGGTCAGTTGTAAGATACTTACACTGTTACCATTAATTTTACAAGAAAGTATTTTACATAGGAACTGATTATGATTAATTGATCTCTCCATAATTCCCTGTAGTAATGTTAAATAGTTCTACTCCTTTTGTCATCATAACAAAAATACTCTGTTTCTCCGTAAACTAGTTCTGTACAATGCCATTTTACCGATTTATACACGCAACAAAAGAAAATATAGTTTGGAAATATGACTTGTTTTTAAGATTATTTAATTTGCCACTTCTAGGGAAAACCAGCTGTGAGTATGGAGGAATTATCAGCAGTATCTTAGCTAATTAATTTTGTTAATTAGTTTCAGTCTTTGAAAACCAGCACTTGACTCTTTGTGGGGTTTGCATGCTAATGTTTTACTGAGATAATACCTCAAAACATTGCATCTCATCCAAAAATGGGGAAAAAAAGAGTGAAAAGCAGACTTGCAACATTGTAAAAACACTCTAACGTTTTTGATAGGCAGAGTAAAGAAGAAGGCAAGAAAGCAGAAGTTAAGAAGATTGAGAAGAAGAGAGGTTAGTTTAAAGAAGCTAAACAGTACTTTATGGGTATCTTAAATTTTGTACGGAATTTCTCCCTGGATAAGGTAATACACTGCTGAGGCTGGCTGTGCAGGCTCAGTGGGAGATGTTTGATCCATAATGCTTCCTTTAGGTCTGTGAAACAGTGCATTCTTGTCTTTGTGTTCTTTCTTTCTTTGGTGCATTACAACAGATCTTTGCTATTCTGATTTATTGTCAATTGAGCCTATAAACCTCAATCTCTTCTGTTTGTGAATAAGAAACAAAAGCTCTTAATCTTTGAACTGAGTCACTTCAGTTCTTCCATTTGTTTTTTCCTTTCTGTCTTCCCATAATACAATCTGAGGGGCCTCTTGATTTGGATACTACCTCTTGCTAAACTGGAGGCTCAGATTCAGATTACTGTGGTCTTGTCTACTAACCCACACTTGCAAACTGACCTTCATAGGGATAAGTCATTCCTTTTTCAGGTTTCCCATCTTAGAGGCCAATCCAAACCACTGGCTGTAATTTGTAGTATAGTACAGATCCAGTGTCATGGACTCTAACCAACCTATTATCTCAGTGGGGTGGGGAAATAAAAATTATCAAAACTCATCCAAGGTGGATTGGAAACTGTTTGCTTACAGTATTGTTCAGAATACATACCAAATCCAAACAGGCATTCAGCATGTGAATTGAAGAATGCCATTGTTCATTCATCTTTCACAGCTACTGAAGTGTGTGCACTGGGATCATTTTATTTGGATGGATTTGGACTGTAACTTGAGTCATGACGGTTTGTTCTGAAAACAAACCATCAATTTCTGGGTGTCCTGTCATTAAAGGTCTTACAGCTTTGTACCTCTTAGTGTTTATTAACACTTTTTGTTAAGCTGGCCCAACAGTCAGAGGGTGACATCTCTGTATTGGAATAGAAAAGTCTTTTCAGTTGTGACTCATAAGGAGAAAACTATGTGGGTTGCTAATAATGTCCAGTTTTTAAAAGCTGTGTGCTTTATTTCTGATAGCAAGCCCCGTGGTGTGTTTGTGTGCACCTGAACGTAAGATACCTGCCCATATTCTTCTGCATTCCATATCAAGTTAATATTTGTAGAAATGTTTCTGCAAAAACGAACCTGATGTGATTATCAAATACTCATGTGTACTGTTCTTAATTTTCAGAAACATCAATGGATTCTAGGCTTCAAAGGATACATGCAGAAATAAAGAATTCCCTGAAAATCGATAATCTTGTAAGTATATTTTTTTTGAACTGATTTATGTGTCCAATTCCAGTAGGAAATACTTGGCTCATGTGCTTGTTTTTAATTAGTACTCTGAAAATGGTTAGAATATTTTCAATTTGAAAGATAATTTTTACTTAAATGAGGTTACTGTGGGTATTGAAAGATAAGTGTCAGCAAAGAAATTTATTTTTTTTAATTGGAAATACTTCATAATAAATTATTTACAAGAAACATTCAGATAGAATTATGTCACATGAAGCATGTGGTGCCAGATCAGCCTGCTGAGCCATGTAGAAACACCAGAAGGACACAGTGAGTGTAGTAGTGGTACACTTCCTGATCCAGGGTATGCAGGCTCCAGCCTACTGACTCTCCCCACTGTTGAGGGTAGTCTGCTGCTTGAGGGGGGTTCAGATTTGGAATGTTACTAACACATGGTTGAGGCTTTGTGGCCTTAAGACTGTTTATTTACTGCTACTGGTTTTCTGTGTTGGGCACCAATGATACAGTCGGGGACACCTGGAGAGTATCAAGCATGACTCTGAGGGTGATGGTGAAGGTGTGGGGGCCCAGGTGGTGGTCTTTTTCTTGAGGGAAGGCTTTGTGAAGGAATGGATAGGCAAGGTGGCAGGATCCACCCAAAAGGAGTGCTGCCAAGAGGCTGAAGAACCTGGGTAAAGAGCGTTAAAGTAGGATTGGCAACAGAGGAGGAAGTGGTGGAGCAGGATGACAGCCAGATGTCAGCAGGGGGATGTAAACAGACTTGCCTTATAATCAGCAGAATTCCTACACAGAACATGGTGGAAGTGGCATGACCACAAGGATAAACACAGAAATGAGGAAGTGATGGCAGCACAGTGTTATGAGGAAGGCTTTCACAACCTTTCTGGAATGTCAGCACGACTGTGTCTCTTAAGGGTGGCTGTACACTAATGCATATAGCATGGGGAACAACCCAGGGGAACTGGGTATCTGTCTGCAGTTGTAGGGCAATGGTTTCAGTGATACCAGAGATTTGGTGGGAAGTTCATGGGGCTGGAGCCTTGCCATGTATGTTTACAGGCTCCGTAGGAAAGGTGCATGTGGGAAGACAAGATGAAGGATAGCTTTATGTGAGAGACCAGTGGAAATGTGTGGAGCTCTGCACTGGGACAGCTGATAAACCAACTGAGAGCTTATGGGTCAGGATTAGTGGGCAGACCAGTCTGAGTGACACATGTCTTGACAATGTCTACGACACCTGATTGGAGAAGTAGAGAAGGAAGTAATCTTAAGACAATTGGGAGACACCTTTGGTTCTAATTGAGGGCTTTACACCAGAATGGTTCTGCAGAAGGGACACGGGGATTGCACAGCAGTGCAGGAAGCTTCTAGAGTGTGATGATTTCCTAACACATGTGATGAAGGAGCTGACATACTGTCAGACCTGACTCTTCCAGACAGCAAAGATCTCGTCAGGCATATGAAGGTCAGGGGCAACCTCAGCTTCAGTGACTGACATGGTGGAGTTCAGGATGCTGGAAGCTGGGAGCAGGGCAAAAAGGATCACAGACCTGGACTCAGGAGAACAGACTTTGGCCTCTACAGGGATCTGCCTGGAAGAATCCCTTGAGAGACCATGCTGGAGAGAAGACAGGGCAAGGAAATCTTGGCTTACTTCTAGGGATTATCTTTTCAAGGCTGATTCATCTTGACAAGCAGAAAGAATAACCAAATGTAGCAGGAGGGCTGCATAGATGAAGAGCTCCTGACTATAGAAAGGACACAAATAACAGAAGCATACAAGAAGTGAAAGCAGGGACAGGTGAACAGGGAGGAATATGCACACACTGCCCAAGCATGGAGGGGTGTGCTTAGGAAACCAAAACCCATGTGGAGTTAGATCTAAGGAGAGAAATGAAGGGCCGCAAAGTTTCAAGTACCTTATCAGTTAAAGGAAGACTGGGAAAACGTGGGCCTACTGAGGAATGGGGTCAGGGGTTCCAGTAAAAAAGGAGAATGCTAAGGTAATTATCCAGGAGCTGGGTAATGTCATTGTGCATCCACTCCATTTTATTTTTGAGAAGTTGTGGTGATAGGGGGCAGTTTCTCAAGGACTGGAAGAATGCAAATGTCACCCTCATCTTGCAGAAGGAAGATCTGGGAAACTGCGGTCAAGTCAGTCTCACACTGATCCCTTGAAAGGTGTTGGAACAAATCCTCCTGGAAATTGTTTCCGATAATATGAAGGACAGTAAGGTCTCTGGGAGTTGAAGAAGTTGTCCTTGGCCAAACTGATGTCCTTCTATGATATGACTAGCTTGGTGGATGAGGGAGAGCAGTGGACATTGTTTATATTACGTTTAAAAAGGCTTTTGACCCTATCTCTCGTAACAGCCTCAAAAACAAACTGATCAAGTATGGACTAAAAAAGTGGATAGATAAGTGGACTGAAAACTTACTGAACAGCAGGGCTCAAAAGGCTGTGATCAGTGGCAGAGAGACCAGCACAGGCCAGTTACTAGTAGTCTGTACTTCTAAAATGTCTCATTAATGACTGGGATGATGGGACAGACCACACCCATAGCCACTTTGAAGATGATGCAAAACTGAAATCAAGGCTTTGATGGGAGTGCTGCCATCCAGAGAGACTTGGACAGGCTGGAGAAATGGGCCAACAGGAACTTCATGCATTTCAGTTCTAGTTCTGCACATGTAGAGCGATATGCCTAGGCACCAGCAGAGACTGGGGACTGAGCTGCTGGAAAGTAGCTTGTTGTAAAATGGCCTGGTGGTGTCGATAGACACCAAGCTTAGCATGAGTCACCAATATGCTTTTGTGGCAAAGGTGGCCAGTAACATTCTGGGCTGCATTAGAGGGAGAGTTGCTAGAATGTGGAAGGAGGTGGTAGTTGGCACTGATGAGACACTGGATCCTGATTTGGGCTCCTTGGTACAATAGAGACATTGACCTGCTGTAGGGAGCCCAATAAAGGGTCACGAAGATGGATTAAAGGCTTGGAACATGTGTCATAGAAGGAGAGGCCAAGAGAGCTGGAAGTGTTCAGCTTGGGGAAGATATGAAAAAAATGTGTGTGAACAGGTAGGACCGCATGAGGAGCAGCAAGCTGCTCCAGCTGAGGGACACAGTTGTTCTGAGTGTTGGAGGCAAGGTTCTGGTAGTGAGGGCAGGGGCCTGCCTTGTGCTGGGTATAACCAGTTCCAGCCTGCCCCAGTGGATGAACTACTGCAGGGCATGGCTGAGCCCTCAGCCAGGATGGTGCACATCTGTGGAAACTTGCTTAAACAGAGGGCAAAACACACTGGGCAGAGAGAAGAGGATGAGGATGAGAGGGAGGAGTGAGAAACAACAGAGGAATCTCCAGTGTCTAAGAAGATAGTAGGAGGTTCTCTATGTTGCTGGAGAAGGTGTTCTCCAGCAGCCTGTGAAAGAGACCATGAAAGAGCATATGCTCATGCTGTGGCCTGCAGAGAGCCCATGCTGGAGATTCTCCTGAAGTACTGCAGCCTATGGAGAGAGCCCAACCTGGAGCAGAGGAGAATGTGCAAGAGAAGGAGTTGCAGAGAGGAATTGTGATGTACTTGACCCTCTGCCCCCCTGCACTGCTTGAGTGTGGGTTGTGGAGTGGAGTTTCAAGTAAAGTTGAGTGTGGCAGAGGGAAAGAAAAGTATTGATTTAAAGTTAGTTTTTGTTTCTCAAAATCCAAATCTATTTTAATTGGTAATAAATTAATTTTCAGTAAGTAGAGTCTGTTTTGTCCATTACTGTAACTGATAAGCAGTCTCCCAGTCTTTACCTTGACCTTTGAGCTTTCTCATTCTGCTTTCAGTGCCTGTGTGGGCATGTGGCTGCTAGCCAAGACTAACAGCACAGTGCTAATATGAAGTATTCATTTCCAGCGTGGCCTGTTCTTAAATTGTTTCATTAAGTCTATGTCAATAATTTGTCTCAAAAAAATAGTTCACCTCAAATGACATTTAGAAAGCTTTTTGCTTCACATTTTCATGGTTTGGCGTAAATAAATCATTCTGTCCTGAGCCAGAGAGTAAAGTCCCCTAAAATAATAAGTAAACCAACGAACAAATAAACATAAACCAGCAAAAAAGCCAAACCAGCCAACCAACCAAAAAACCCTGAAAACCTGTGATACAGAGGTGTAATGAAGCAAATGCCTTAGAGTACTGGAAAGAACATGGGTTGCAGAGCTACAGCAGGGATGCTTAGGCTATTGTAATTGTAGTTATCAATTAAATATGATAGTAGGAATTCTCCTGAGTATAGTCCTGATGTGTTTGTTGGGAGGAGTTAATACTCATTTTCCTTGTGAACAGGAGCTACCACTTTGTACAAGATACAGAATGTTGTTATGACCTCTACTGACAATCTTTTGAGTTCTAAACAGGAAGTTAAATCAGCAAGAGTAGCAGAAAATAAGGAAATTGAGAACAGGTATTACAGGACTTTAGTACAGTGGTTCTTAGAAATGGATCAGAAGCTCACATAATTACTTCCGTGTGTCCTGCACAGTGTGAATTCATTCATCAGACTTTTAACTGAAAAATCTACAAAGACACAGTTCTCTGCATTCACTACAGTCCACTCACGATGCTTTGCTACCTTCTCAGTGGCAATTCACTTTTGAAAAATTGTGTCTGATGTGCTGACTATGGAGAGCAGCTCTGAGCACTGAAGTAACTAGAATCATGAAAGCAGCATAAAGCTTGAATTTGTATTCTGAAAGTATAAAATTGTTTCTAAGTGTTACAAATTATTTGAATATCATCTGCCTTTTATCAGAAGTAGCTGAAAGGCAACTGGGGGTAAATTTTGGTTTGCAAGTTTGACTGTATACATTGTTTTAAGAACATAGTCAAGGATATTGTAGGAAGGTGTCAATGAGCATGGAAATGAATTTAGTATGACTAATTAATGATTATTAACATGTAAGTTAAGTTTTCAAACTAATTTTGTGTTTATATACAGGATGTGAACAGGTGTATTGAGGCTCTTGATGAGCTTGCATCGCTTCAAGTCACAATGCAACAAGCTCAGAAACATACAGAGATGATTCTAACTCTTAAGAAGGTGAGATTTGCAATGTTAATTAAAGGAACATGTGTGTTTTCTTAAATTGGTACCAGTTTTGTTTTCTACTGTGTCCTGTTCAGGTCCCTACCGTTCAAGAGTGATGCAGACAGACAGGAGAGGGCCTAAAGGAGAGCCATCAAGATGATCAGAGTGCTGGAGAACCTGCCCTATAAGGAAAGATTGAAGGGTTTAGTTCTTTCCTTCCCAGAGGAGTCTCAGAGAGGACCTTGTCACATTATTCAGCACTTTAAAGGAAAGCTGCAAAGAGGGTGGGGGCTCTGACAAGGAGACACATGGAGAAGATGAGGGGCAATGGATAGAAGTTGTGCTGGGAAAGGTTTTATCTTGATATAAAAAAAATTCCAAACCTTTTTTTTACAGTGAGAGCAATTGTTCTCTGTAACAACCTCCCCAGGGGTGTGGTGGAATCCTCATTGCTGGAGGTTTTCAAGATGCAGTTGGACAGGGTGCTTGATAATCTCATCCAGGCTCCCTTTCCCATGAAGAGTTAGACCAGGAGATCTTTCGAGGTCACTCCCAGCCTGACAGTTCTGTTATTCTGTGATGCTTCAGAGGGTGTAGAAGTCTGTGATCTTATTTCAGATTGAATGAATAATTTCATCTAGCAGATAAGGGAATTACATAGATATTTAAATACCTAAGTGGAGCTCATTGTTTTATTACTTTGATTTCAGATACGGAAATTCAAAGTTAGCCAAGTTATCATGGAGAAATCTACAATGCTATATAACAAGTTTAAGACTATGTTTCTTGTTGGGGAAGGAGATTCTGTTCTTTCCCAAGTACTAAATAAATCGCTTGCGGAGCAGAAGCAACATGAAGAAGCCAACAAAACCAAAGAACAGTGGAAGAAAGGAGCAAACAAAAAGGTGGAAAAGGAAAAGGACCAGACAGGTAAGGCACTGTGGTTTTAGTTTCTTGTCATATAAAAGACTTAGTTTCCATTAATTTATGAGCCACTTTCAAAAAATCCTTGATGTGGGAGTTCTACCCATCTATGAAAACTTTTACCTATCTGAAATAGTCAAGGATAGTACTACTGTAGCCAACATTGAAACTCAAGAGTGTAATGTTTCCCATTGCCGTTTCTTCTCTGTTGCCCGAAGGGAAGAACTTTTTCAAAAATAGTTTAACATATTTTTATTCTGTAAATTTTCTAACTTGATTACATTATGGAATTAAAGAAACATCAAACATGAGGTGGAATAACTGACCACCATTGGGTTTCATCCCAGCCAGCAGTCAAGCCCCACACAGCCACTCACTCACTCCGCCACTGTCAGGATCAAGGAGAGAATCAGAAGGGTAAAAGCTAGAATACTCATGGGTTGAGATAAAGACAGTTTAACAGGGAAAGCAAAAGCCACATACAAGCAGAGCCAAAACAAGGAATTAATTAATTGTTTTCCCTGGGCAGAAGGTGTTCAGCCATCTCCAGGACAGCAGGGCCCCATCACACAGATGGTTCCTTGGAAAGACCAACACCATCACTCCAAGTGTCACCCACTTCCTCCATCTTCCATCCACTTTGTATGCTGAGCATGATGGCATATGGTATGGAATATCCCTTTGGTCAGTTGGGGTTAGCTGCCCTGGCTGTGTCTCCTCACGACCTCCCAGGCACCCCCAGTCTTCTTGCCAGTGTTGCAGTATGCCACATAAGAGGCCTGCTAAGCTTTGCTCAGCAGTAACAAAAACATCTCTACACTGTCAACCCTGTGTTCAGCAGAAATCCAAAACACTGTGAAGAAAATTACCTCAGCCAAAACCAGCACAACCTTCCATTTCTCCAGTAGCCTTTTGGTGCCTAGACTTCTACCACATAGCTACAGCTTTCAACTGCTTGATTTCCTTCATTAGCTCCTTCCTATATCATGCATGCTACTGTGTGTAGCAGTAACCTTTAACCACTTCTGTGACACAGCTTCAGTAGCTCAGTCTAACAGTAAAGAAATAATCATTTATGGGAGAGCAGGTGTTTGTGCTCCTAGCAGTACCATTCCAGAGAATTCAAGAGATAATGAAGTACAGAGTAATTCTGACAGCTTTCCCTAGTGAGTATGCTCCACAGTGTCTTAAATCGGGAGTAAAATAGATACTTGTATTTTTACATAGAGGAACAAAATGAGGCAGACACACTGGAAATTTAAATCTTTGAAATTGTAGGACCCATCTGTTTAAATCATTTAACTCCTTGATCTTCACAAGCACTGGACAGAAATTACATTCACTCTAAACTTGAATCTTGGGAGCAAAATTGATTCAGAAATTTGTCTGAAGGTTACATCATCTGGATCTGGAATAAACAGATTACTGTGACTGCCTTGTTAGAGGGTGCCAAGGACTCAGAACAACTGTAGTGGAAATGCCACCATGTTTGTAACTGCCAAGAAAGCGAAGATGAATATAAAACCCAACCAATTTATGGTGAGAGAATGTATAATGGCGAGGTTCCATACAGATCTTTCCCCAAAACAATGATTAGTACAACTAATACTTGAAGAAATAATCCAAACTGACAGACTTCCTGCACATAGTTTGGCTAGTGAAACCACTCTAGATAAGGGTAACACAACTTCAGCAGAACACAGTGAAATACCATATTGTCGTCTGGTCACACGGAGAATGGTAAGAAGATTTATCAGAGTAGGAGGGTATTTTATGTGTGTTTTCCTTATTTGCTACAAAGGGAACTCTGGTCCTTACATGCATTTTTCTGCAATTGTAAAACCTGAACTGTTGACTCTGACTCTTTACAAAGCACAGTAATGCTGTAATTGTTTGTACTTTAGCTGAAGTACAGCAGTGGTTTATCTACCTTGTAACAAGGGATTATAGCATTTATTGTCATTGAATTCTTCCAGTGGCACTTGAGTTCAGAACTCATTCTGAGCAAGTATAAACAGGTCAACTAGAATGTCATCTTTAAGTGGTCTTGTCTACTTCTTAGCATGTCTTAGCCTGTGAGAATTCAGATGAGTAAATCTTGTATTTTTTAACATTCCTGTAGCGTGGTATTTCAATAGAGGGGTTTTTTTTTTACAAACCTGCAACTTCAAATAAAATGGACTGTCAGTTCTGACTTAAAAGTGACCTTCCTTAACAACTTGTTCAAAATTCACTAGCTTGTAATACGAGAGTAAAACATGTATGCAGAACAGATTTAAAAGAGGTCAAATGTTCCTGCTTTGATTTCACCAAATACTACTTCTACCTGGTGCTTTGTTTTCCTGCTTGAAAATCGAATGCTATAACTACATACTCTATTTGTATACACTGTCATATTTTGATTATATAACCTATCTGTTGGAGTTGAGAGTAAATGAGAGTGAGGGAACTAGTAACTTCTGTAGTTAAAGTATCAACAATCCCCAGTTGTCTGACCAGGTTAGTGTGGTAAGCAGAACTTACTGCTCAAGTGTATTCTCTCACTCCTTGGAACAGAAACAAGCATTAGTCTTATGATCTGTAGCCTAGCAAGCACAGGAGAACTTGAAATCCCTTGAAGGATATACACTGTTCCATTCCCTTGACTAAAATTATGGGATGAGGCACGTTGCATGGACTTTCAGAAGTTGAAGCCTTGTCAGTTACTGTCTTTTGTATTGTTTCAGCTGCCCTGGGTATCGAGGTGAGGGGAAAACATTAATAGCGTTTCATCTGATGAAGGTGAAGAAGTCATCTAGGGCTTTTTATAGCACAGTTTTGCTGCAGTACTGTTTTCTTGTCCTTTCATTTTGAAGGTTCAAAGGTTCTGAATGGAGGATCTGAAGCCCAGGACACCAACCAGTCACAACATAATGGAGAGAACACTGAGGAGAAGAAAGATAGGCATGAAGCTGGCAGTAAGAAAAAGTGAGCTAATAACTTTGCTGAGTTAAGGATCTATTCTGCTCTAGCTAAATGGCGTAAAATAGAACAGAAGTAGTTTGAAATTACTTAATGTTGAGGTATTGTTTTCTCCACAGAGTTTTCTGTCAACTTCAGAGAATGCGAATGTTCTGTTTGAACTTTTGAATGAATGTTTTAAAAGGCGTAAAGAAAAAGAATTACAGCATGTCCTGTTATAGGAGAGACTCAGCATGTGGTAGGACAGGGCAAAGCAAAAGGTTATCACTGAAAAATGCTGGTTTGTAAACAGAAACATCAAGCAGAGAATCTCTTACAGAGCATGAGAACAGCATAACAGATTTAGTTAAATCAAGGAAAAGGTATAAAATTATCATAGGGATGAATTGTTTTGTTGAGGTACACTGTTTTCTCTGAGCATTTGGTGTTTGCTGGGAGGTGCCCTCAAAACTAGTGGCTTCTGACTACAGAGCTTTTAGAAGTGATGTCTAGGAGTTCTCAACCAGTGATGCCAAATACTTGTTTGGCCTGAACAAGCAGCATGCTGCAGGAACATACAAGAGTCACAAGTTTCTGCCCCACTGATAAGTGGGTAGATATACTCCAAATGAGTGATTTTTGCCAAATCACAGTGTGGTACTTACAAGGTGCAACACTCAAGTTACTTGGCATTAATATTCAATAATAATAGGATACACTTGGCCAAGTATTTTAAAATTTAAATTTAACAACAAATTTAAACAACTAAGCTACTTGGCCAGGGTAGATTTGTTCTTCTGTGTATCCTGACAACACATGGGTATTTTTGAGTTGCAGGAAAACAATCTCAGTCAGATTGCCCTTTATATTTGTCATTAAAAGAGACAGGAATATTTGAGTACAGGGATGATATGTCAATAGACATTGGTCAAAAGAAATGTAAGGCAGGTATTTCCGAGAGTTATACAACTGCCTGGAAAAGGCAGTTCTAATAAAGCAACTTTAAGTAATGAAGACAAGTTGTGTGTTTAATACTTCAGTAATTGTGGTTGTATCTGTAGAACTTGTAAAATACATCTTCCATGAATTTGCTAGTGAGGGTGTCAGGTTGTACTCATAAATGTTCCAGTCATTAAGCTTGTGTGGTGTTTTCCATGGCCTTTAACTCCAGCACAATATTTGACTTCCATCAACAAAGAAACAATCCCACTTTACTAAAAAATTACCATTTGGCTGCTTCAGAGCAGTTTGTGAGTGGCTAACGGCTGTAAACCAGATTTTATCACACCTCTTGCACATAATGTGCATGTTGAGAAATGCATCCACATACCTGTTCTGAATTCAGGCAAGCTACAGACTCTGCCATCATACAAACTTCCATTCAATCAGTACATTTTTATTTGCAATATTCAGTTTCTTAGAAGTGAGAAACTATTAAGTGAAGTAAATGTTATCCATGTTGAGACATTTGTAAACCTCTCAAATGACAGGGCTATCTGTTCAGTTCAGAACTTTACTCCCTGTGAGAGAGGGATGACATGTCTGTACCTTTTATGAAGATGTACTTTAGAAATTTTGGAAAACAAGTTGTGCAACTTCAGAACATCCTTCTGTTCTCATTTGGTAAAAATACATGCTGCCCCCAGAGGTTACCCCAGTGTCTGAGGGACCAACACTGGGCTGCAGTGTTTGGATTCTTCCTAGCTACTCAAACAGTGACAGCTGGTGAGGTATGTTAAGCCTGAGCCCTTTTCCACCTAAGCTGACATACATTTGACGGGAGGGAGGACTGCAGAATGGATCACAAACCGACTTCTGAATGACTGCTGTTCACAGACCATCACATACATCAATAGTGATGTGTCGTGGTTTAACCCCAGCCAGCAGCCAAGAACCACGCAGCCACTCACATTCACTCCCCCCCCAGCCCCGAGGAATGGGGAGGAGAAATGTTCCAGTGCAGCATGGATCAGTCCATGACAAATGGTAGGGCTGTGTTTCCACCCCTGGGGCAATCGATTCCAGGTGTACTGAATACCCCTCCAAGTGAAAGCAAACTGTGGTCTATACTCTTGCTGCCAAAGGGATTGAGAAAAATGCGTTGGCGATATCAATTGTGGCATACCACTTG